CATTGGGCTCTGATTGCCCCACAACCTGGCTTGGACCACCCAGGTCATGGGGCAATTGGAGCCCAGTGGCTCCTCCAGAGGCACGGCGCCGGGGAGCCAAGGCGAGGGCATGTGGCCCCCTGGACTGTGCACAGGGCAAGGTCGGGCTGGGATCAGCCTCTGCTCCTTGCTTCACTACTGCTGCTTTGGCAGCAGCATGGCACAGCGCCGTGTGCCTCACTGCCCAGCCTGCCCAGAGGCAGGAGTCACATGGCGCCACACCACACCACTGTCAAAACAGTGGCAGCAAGGCAGGGAGAAGAGGTTGAGCCCATCCTGCAGCTGCAGCCTGCCCTGGTCCTGTGCATGGACTGGGAGGCAATGTGCCCCCGCAATTGGCTCCCCGGCATGGCGCCTCTCAGGCTCCAATTGTCTCATGACCCAGCCGGGCCAAGCCAGGTCGTGGGGTAATCAGAGCCCAGTGGGTCATCCAGTGGCATGGCATGGGGGAGCCAAGGATAGGGGGAATGTGGCCCCCCTCCCCTGGCTCCCCTGTAGTGCAGGCAGTGGTGGGAGCCACCCATCCATGGCCCTGGAGGAGCTGCTAGGCTCCAATTGCCCCATGACCTGACCCACCCTGAACGCAGCCCATCCCCCCACACAGGAACAGCCCAGCATAGCCCCAACCCCACCACCCCCACTCCACAGGCCTTCCCCGGCTGCCCGCCACAACCCTGCTCCCCTCTCCTCCCCTCCATCTCCTCCCCACCTCTTCCCTCTGTTCCCTGATGGCTTTTGTCGGGGGTGGGTGTGGCACGGTGTGGCACAACGGTTCCCTTGCCCCAACCTCCTCTACCCCCTCCCCTAAGACCTGGCTCAAAGTTGTGCCTGTGCCTGCGTGGGCCAGCCAATCACCCCCTGCCCTCTCGGCGGTGCATGCGCAGTTGGCCCAGAGCATTACAGACAGACAGACAGGCGGACTAAGGCTTTTATTATATTAGAATTTTGTCTTCTTTTCACCATTCAGTGCTTGACTTTGTGTCTTACCTACCAAACACAATCCAAGCCCTGCTCTGAAGTCAGAATTCCTCAGAAGCTTTCCTCTACTGCTTATCATTATAGTGTCTGAGTGCTTTACAAACATTGATGAATTTATCGTCAAACACCTCTTGCAAAATAAGTAATGTAAATCTAATTTTAAAGGCAGGGAAACTGAGACATAGAAAGTTTGAAGTTAAAGATATCTAACAATTTCAATGTCCAATTGAAACATCAAGGACCTAAGTTTTTGGAGTACTAAGCCTTAAATAGTTTTCTGTATGTTCAAAGCACAGCTCCTGTGGAGTCCAGTGCCAGCTGTAAATTCTCAACACTTCTGTAAATCAGATTCCAAGGTTTCAAATCAGGTATCCAGAAGCACAAAATTAACAGCTACACATAAAAAGTCTGGTTTAGTTATTATGTGTAGCATCACACAGGAAATCTATAGCTGAGGCAGGTAGCATTCAATAGCATTTAACTATAAGACCATTCTTCATCTTTTTTTAAATTGCTTGCTTTTTGACTATGCATTTTGCAACTTCTGCAACAAATGAGGCAGGCGGTCTACAAACATCTTCTTTCACTACACAGTCCTCGGAACAGGTCCCTACTGTGCACTAAAAGCAGAAGGACCCTTCAGAAAAAAAATAACTTGCTGACTAGAAGAATGTCAAGCAGCTGCAGTGGTCTTCACAGCATGCTCTCCAAAAGCATGACCCTTGTCTGTTTTGTGTCTTCTATTCTCTTACCCTCTCACCACCTTGTCCAAATCTCTCTTTCTCCATGGTGCCTAATTCAAACTCAGTCTTCACTCTGACTGTCTCCCAACAGGGACAAATAGTATACCAAAGTCTGCTCGCTTTATTTTGGTGAAAAGCCAACTAATGCCATGTGGTAGCCCTAATACCTACACATCTAATTCAGGAGAGGAAAATGGAACGTGGCTCCAAGAGGTTACCAAGGAGCCTAATGAAGTTGCAAGCATGTATTAGTGCTTTGAGTATTGCCTTTCAAGAGCATCAGTTTGAAAAGGAAAGAAAACATTTAAAATCAGAATTAAATTGTATTTATAAGAACTATTTGGATGACATTCACAGATAAGGTGGCATACTACCTTAAGTCTGCTCCTCTGAGAAAATCAAAAACTCAGACTTCTTTATCCATCCATAAACAACTTATCAATAATCTCAAAAACTGGAATGCCTTACATTTAATTGTATAAAGTTCAGAGAAAAAATGGACTTTACATTTTTACTGCCCCAGTGAAAATGTATGAGCAGACATATAGAATAATGAAAGCAGTCTTTTCCCACATTGCATGACAGGCCAATGTTTAAAGGCCCTGTAGTTACCAAGCCCCTCAGGGCTTCAAGCCAATATGTTTCCATGTGCCAACTGACAATATAGATTTCGTTAAACACAGACCCAGAATTGAGAGGAAGCCAATTTTTCAGAAGTTCAGAAAATGTAACACTTCTACCCTATTATTATATTGTATTTTCCTATTATAACACATCAACTCTGCCTGGAGCCAGAAATGTACAAAGAAAATAGAATTACGGAGGGGGGGAGGGGGCTCCACATTTGGTTCAGTAAGCAAATACTAGAGGTGCACTGATACATGGGTCCAATATTGGATCAACACCAATATAAAGAAAATTTACTATACTGGAAATCGGCCATATCAGGCCAATAATCTGCATGATAAATGACCCAAGCATGTGTATAGCGCAGCACAGATGACAAGGAGTACAGCCCAGCAGTGTGGAGAGCTGCCTCCAGCTGGTAAGTCTGGTGAGGGGAAAGAGGGGAGGGGAGGGGAGGGAAGGGGCAAGGGGAGCAGATCAAGGCCCCTGTAGGAAGGGTAGAGAGGGGCTGGAGCTGGAGCGTGGGGCAGAGGTAGATGGCTCCTGGCGCTGCGTGCTGCTCAGCTGGGAGCTGCTGGTCCAGCAGCTCATCAGGCACTCACTTGCTCATCCCACAGCTCCTGCTGCTTATCTAGGAGGGCAAGGGGAGGGAGGGGTGTGTGTTCCCGGATCTGTGTGGGGTGGGATGGGGCCGGCGCTGTGTCAAGCTCTTCTCAGCAGGGCAGTGTGCACTGGGCTGGGCAGCTGCGGTGCTGGGAAGGGGCTATTGTGATTTTGTAGCTGCAGCACCCTTCCATAGCCCACTCCCAGTCTCAGCCCTCTGCCCCGATCTGCCAGTGGGGCAGCTAGCAGAGAGCTAGCTGCCCCACTGAGCATTGGGGCAGGGGGCTGGGACCTACCTCATCCCTGCAGCTCCCTTCCCTGCAGCTCTTTCCAAGTCCCCTGCCCCTGGTCAGGAAGCCAGGGCAGGAGCTTCCTGCTGCCAGTTTAGGGGGACATTGTCCTCATCCCGGCAGCAGGCAGCCCCTGGGGGCAGGTTGCAACATCCCAGCCCTGGCCAAAAGACAGGTGTCTCCTGGCCAGATACTCTGCCAGCCCCTGGGTTAGCAACTAGGGAAAGCCTAAAACTCCCCCTGGTGGCGGCAGAGGCTCATTTGCTTGTGAGTAGTTTACTGGCAAGTAAACTGATCCTGGATCAAATGCATAGGTAGATGCACCTTCAGGGTGTAAAACTCTCACAGTGTTAATACATCTGTTTTGCAGTTGTTATAACTTAGTTAAAGAGAAGGATTAAAAATATTCAAGACTTCAGCCCATGATTAAAGACAGTTATCCTCAAAAATGGTTTGGAAAGATAATTCTATTCCTTTCCAATATCCTTCGGTGACTTTCATAAAGATGAATATTAATGAATAGCTGTGTGAAACTTAATGCCACATCTACCATAATTCTGCCCCCTTCTGCAAGTATGGCATATGTGGTGTTAACTACTTCTTTATGCATTGCATATATAATAGGGCCAAGTAACAGTTGCTTTGGCATTTATAAACTTGAATTTATTGATTAATTTTCATGTAAAATCTGCATTAAGTTTTCTTAGATTTCATGCTGTTTTTCTTTTTGAAAAAGAAGAAAAATAAGTGCTGATATAGCTGCCTATTAAATCAAGTTACTCCACATTTAAATGAGCAAAACCATGATGTCACAATCACTTTTAATAAATGGACAATTTAATAAGATACATAATTATGGACATTTGGTTCTGCTTCTCCACGAGAGAACAGATCTAGTGATTTAACACTGAATGGAGAGCTATCTTCTCACCTGACAGTGGCTCCATTTGACGAGTTAGTGTTTGCAAAGTACTTTGAAGATTAAAAACATAATTTACAAGTATTTTCCTCTTACCCATGTGAATCATAATGAGATGCTGGGAGGTTAAAGTTAGGACTTCGTTTTGTTTAACTTAGATATTTTAAAAATCACAACTTTCCCAATGCAGTCATTTTTCTATAGATGTCACCTGTATATAGGCCCTTTAAAAAAATGGCTCTGATGTTTAAAGAGAAAATGTTAAATAGCGGCATTAAATATGTTTATCTACCTTGCCTTAGAAGAAATATATCATTGTGCTGGGACCTGTACAAATGAATAAAAGGAACAATCCCTGCCCCATAGATGTGCACTAGGATTACCATATGTGTGATTAAGGTCCAAATTCTGCACAACTCTTACAGAAGCAAAACAGCAATTAAGAATTGTGACAATAAAATGAAACAAACTTTGATATAAGGCATCACATTGAGCCTTGTAAGTGAGGTGAACATCAATGAAGTTCATGAGATAACTTGGCCACCCTGATTCTATGTTGTATTTTACAGAGAACACTAAATAGGCAATAAAATATTGCACTTGCAGAAGGCAGTTAATGACAGATAAGATTATTGGCAGTTTGTTAAAGACTACTGAAGTAAGACAAGTGAGTTGTTCTTCTATCACTATGCCATGACATTTTAAGATTTTCAGTGTATCACATAAATTTAAAATATCCATTTTAAGTATTTTTTAACATTGAAAACAGGCTTATTCCAAAACAATGTGGCTTATACTTACAACTTTTAAACTACAGCTGGGAACTTCAGTGCAAATAGCTTTAAGAGAGGAAACAAAGTTAAACGTAAGGGGATCTGTGTCTTTTGAGAAACTTATGAGGAGTCGTACTTTAATACTTCGCAAAGCAAGTACTTCTCTTATCTTCCCATCCAAGTACGGCCAGTACCTGTGGAGGAAACATGCAATTCATTCAGGTAAAATTTTTTTAAAAATGCAAACCCAAACAAACCCCCAACTCAGACTTTTATTCAAGCAACCACAGGCAATCTAGGGAAAGCTAAGCAAAATGTGAACAGCATTCATATATAATTATGCGGGGAGCAGAACCTGCTTGAGGGGAGTCTAGCTGAGGTGGTCTACCACATCCTTGGCTTTCTCTGTAGTAAGACAGCAACCCTGGGGGCAGTAAGATCCTGTTAGCCTGTGGGCAAGCACATACACTTTCTGAGTGGATGCTTAGCAAGCTGCAAACATTAAAGTAAATTGAAACATGTATGGGATTTTTCTTTGCACAAGGTGTGCTGCTTGCCCAAGCTGCACTCCTGCTTTGAATGCAGGAAAGAGAGCTTCCACATCCTTCCTTTAGCTCCTAATTTCATCCTCTCTCTCCCTCTTGCTGAGACCTCTGGTCTAGGACCATAACAACTCTTCAGCAGTTCCTGCAGGGGCAAATGAGAGATACCTCAGTGTAGAGTCCTCATGTCCTTTGGCAGGGAATAAGGGTAGGTACTTGGTCACATGAGGGTGTTCCCTTTTCTACCCAGTTGCTGAGAAAAATAATTCTTATTTTAGTGCAGCAACTATTTTTATGGCATACATTTTGCTGATCATGGTCCACAATGCTGTTTGAGGGTCTAGAGATCCCCTCCTCTGGAGTGATTAGTACAGGATGGGGAGCAAAGAACAATGGACATGTCCATTAGTCTCAGGAGATTTTGTAGAACATAACCTGAGAAGGTATTAAGTGTCTCACAGAACTCCCCTGTACCAGAAATGACATTAAGTGGTAGGAACATAGGCTAGTAGAGTTGTGGAAGCCACAGCAATGACTTTAAAACCTTACTCCTGGGAAAACAAAAAAGGCCCCCTCTGTGTAGATAAGCCTATGCTTATCTACAGAGTTAGTTTGAAATAATTCTCCATGGTGGAATCCTGTTTCACCATGGAGAACACAGAATACCAGCAGTCTTCCTATGCCTGAACAAGGGTGTTTGTGTCCAAAAGCTTGCAAAGAACAATTTTTCAAACTATTTAGCTTGAATGATAAAAGATACCACATTTACCCAAAGAACTTTGTCTGCCTGTGTAACAAAGCTATGACTTTTTCCAGGAGGAGCATCTCCAGATTGTATTAAGTAACACATGTTAAGCTATCACAGGACTGCTCTTTGGAGATAACACAAGTTCAAGACTAGCACAGTGCAGGAGTTGGGACCAACAATCAGCTGAATGTTGGTTCTAGCCCCTGCATTGTGCTGAAGTCTTGAACTAGTATTATGTCTGTGAAGCAGTCCCACAACCACTGAATATGTGATTGTCAGTCCCAGCCCTGGCCCACATCAGTGTCTTGAACCCACTCTGGTGTAGTACAAACCTGGTTTTTAGGAGCTATAAACATGGGAGGGCGGAGGTCTTGAAACAGCTCTGGTGCAGTTTCAGGGCTGGTTTGAGACTCTGACATGGTGCTGGGGATAGGATAATTGCATATCATGTTAGAGTCTTGAACCAGCCCTGGGACTGCATATCATGTCATGTCATCAATGATCTGCATATCATGTTAGAGATTGTGGTAAACATTACCATATGACTGCTCAGAACATGTGCTAACTTTTAATATGGTATAGCAATACTTACTATGATTTATATAAAACACATGCTAAGTGTCCTGACTGACTGCAACATGGCCCTAAACTGCTGAATACATCAGGCAGGGGGAGCAGCATCTGCCCTTCTGCAGAGTGGCAAAAATACCAGTCTCTTCCACAAGAGCAGTGCCAGAGCTGCTATGGCCATTACAGATCCATTCTGTTCTAAACCATGACAACCTGCACGTATTAACTTTCTCCAAAACAAGAATGTGGTGCACAAACTTCTCCTGCTTCATCTTAGCCAAAAGGAGGCTGATTTTGGAAGGTCTGAAGAAGTCCTATTATCTGATTTTTCAGTTATAAAAAAGGTGTACATAAAAAATAAGAAGGCAAAGGAAAGGAAAAGAAAAAGCACAGTTCAGTCAGATTTCACAAAGAGCTCAGAACCCAAAGGCTCCCAATTAAAGCACATGCCTGCAACCACAAGCTGTATAAAAACCCTCTGCTCTGAGCAAATGACACTAATAAGAGCTGCTGACTACTGGGCAGTTCTCCAAACCTGGCTGTTGTGTCCAGGACAGCAATTTTTTTTATTACAACCTGGCATCCGTTTCTCAGGTCCTGAGCACTTTTGAAAATCTGGGCAATTCATAGGTTCTGCTTAAAATAACTGACTCTTAAATAGCTACAATGTGATATGGTTTTAAATGCAGTCTGTGCTGAGTTTGAAACATTTTTTAATAGAATTATGGCAGCTCCCATATTGTTCATTAGAACTCTCAATATGTTATCTCCTCTCTCTCTATCTTAACACACATACACATTCACACACTCTCTATCTCCTTTTGGTATTCAGAGGCTGCCAGCAACCATTGATCACATCAGGGTACAGAATGCACTAGCATGAGAAATACAATTAAACAAGTGGGCTCTTCTATCACATGCCTGGGTATCACATACCACAGTCAGGACCTTTCAGGTAATCACACTACATATATTTTGATCTCCTTCAGTAGGCCAGTTCACATTTTAGGATCCAGAACTAGAAATTTCCTTTTAAGTTGCAGTTCTGCTCCCATTTAAAGCAATGACTGAACTCTCAACTTTCAATGGGTACGTCTACAAGAGACATTTACTGAGTAGCTGACTAATTACTTATGCAGTAAATGTTACAGATATTCCACTGAATAAAAAAAACTCTGCAGCAGTGCAGGTGTAAATACTGCCCTGGCCGGCTGGGCCATGAGAGTGCTTCAGTGCAGGGGCTGCCTGCCAGCTAGCCCCTCACTGAAGCACCCTTGTGCCCCAGCCAGCCCTTCTGCAGCATGTTGAATTGGGGGGAGCAGCCCTGGGCTGGCAGGCTGACACCCAGGGACCCCTGAGAGCTGGGGTGAGCTGCCCCAGTTCAACGTGTTGTGTTCCTAGGTGCGTGTGCTGATGCAACACCTGGGAGCAATAACCTCCAGAGCAGTAAGTGCCAGAGTTTATTCAAGCACACTAATAGTATGTATAGACACACCCAATGAGTGCAAAACTGGGCCCTAAGAAATCAACCCAGAGGGAGTAATTAAAAGACCCACTAATTTTATTCATCAATGGTTGTTCAATTTCATTTCTGCAATGTGTGGAAACTGAATTTGGACTCTTACTAACCTTTTAGCATTAGTGTCAATGACAATTGGCAGGTAGTCCATGACAGCTATGTACACAAACTGCTGGGCATCATCTATCACATTGTAGATAGCATCAATATCAAAGACTCTGTCTTTGGGGCAAAATTGCTTGGGAGAATTCTGTGAAGACAAATGATCAAATGTTACATTTCAAAGTTGCTTTTCTAAAAAAAAAATCATGTCGCAACAAAACTTTTAAGCAGTATTACTTTAGCAGAGACAATCCACCACTGTTATGTTAAACTATTCAACTGGGATTTCCAGAGGCATAAAGGGGAGTTATTTGCTTAACTCCCCTTCAAAGGTCTTCTTCCAGTGTAATGATCACAGTGTTCAACCCTGAAAAGCATTTTTGCAAACAAAGTAGCTCTACCTGAGAGGAAGCTCTTACATGATATAACACAGGACTTTTCTCTAAAGGATATATTAGAAAGAGGTAGAATTATCTGATCATTACACTCTCCAGGCACATCATTTTCATATAAGTAATTAGTCTTTATTAATTTTACCCTATTTAAAATAGCATGCAATGTAGCTATTTGCTAAGAAAATCATTGCTGTTCAAAGTCTCTGCTGCTGTGTAAGAATCTGAGATTTCAATACTACCTCTTTCATGTCATCTACAAAATCACTCCCATTTTGGAATTGGCTAGGCAAGTGGTGAGTCGTGATTTCTTTTTTTTTGCTTAACTATCCATTGTGTTACCTCAGCTTACAACCACCTCCTCCTATTCTTATTGACTCTAGAGAAATTTCACCAGAACTTTAACAACTTCCATGCCTCCATCAAACTAACTCTGGAGCACTCCATCCAGCAGAGTCATTTCCTAGACCCTGGGCACTACAGTAAAGAATTTGCAATGGCCGTGTTGCCACCACACTGAATTGGACACCAACCAATTGCCTCAGCTACCTTCACGCCACCAGTTTTCACCCTAAAGGCACCACTAGATCCACTGTCTATAGCCAAGCTCTATGTTACAACAGTATGTGCTCTGATCCCACTGACCAGGATGAACACCTTAAGGATTTGGAGCAAGGAGTCCTACAATTACAATACAATCCCCAAAGTGTAGCCACTCAAATCAACAAAGCCAGACTTGGACCTTGCTCCAACCTTCTACAATACCAACCCCAGGAAAAGGACAACAGAATCCCTCAGGTTGTTACCTGTTTCCCCAGCTGGAATACCTTAGACACATCATTATTCACCTCCAATCCAGGATGACCATTTCAAGGTAGTCATGGCAGACAAACCAGTCCTAACTTACAGACAGCCCGCCCCCACCCCCCCAACCTCAAATGACATCTCTCAAACAGCAGACTAACTCCCATCCTTACCAAGTACCAAGCCTTGCAATGGACCCAAATGCCTGCTGTGCCCCCAGCGTCAATACAGACCACATCATCACTGGACTGGAAAACAAAGAGTGCAACATCCAAGGTTCATTCACCTGCAACTCAAACAATGTCATATATATCATCACTTGCTTACGATATCTGTCTGCACTGGGCAGACAAGGTGGTCTCTATATGTAAGGATGAATGAACACTGATCTGACATCAGCTGCAGAAAGAGACAAAGGCTTGTGTCAGAATACTTTCACGTCCCTGGACACTCCATAACTGATCTCAGGATTGCTGTTTTCAGGCAGCAAAATTGTAAATAACAGTTTAAATGGGAAATTGTGGACCAAGAAATTCACAACCTGGAGTATGTTAAATATGGTTTAAACACAGACTATGTATTTTAATCCTAATACCTTGACTGGCCTTTATGACTGTTTTGTTCCTTGTCTTTGTATGCTGCTCCCAACACTGTTCCTTCTCCCCCCCCACCCCCGCCACTATCCTCCCCTCTCCCCTTCTTCCCATCCTTCCTCTTTTCCCACCTTTTGTTTTCAAATCATTCAGTCCATTTCATACACTGTTTTATGCCTTCCTTTCACAGCATTTGATGAAGTGAACTCAAGTTCACAAAAGCTTGTGCGCGCTCTCTCTTTCTCTCTCTCTATATATGTAATTTAGTTAGTTTATAAGGTCTATATCTACCCTGCCTTGTATCCTGACATCTAAATTTCTCTTCTTTGTTATTTCTCCAGATTCTACTTAGCACAATCATATCTGGTTCTTGACTGGGGTCCCCATGTGTTACTACTGTATTACAAACAAATATGTATAAACCTTTCAAATAATTTTAGGATAACAAAAACATTGGACAGTTAATGTATAGAGCACCTATAAGAATCAAGCCCTGAATTCTTTTTTTTTTCTTTTTTAAAAAAGGAATTGGATTGCTTTATGTTTCTATCAGCCAGTCAGAAACATAATGTGCAGTTGCTAAGCAACCTCATCATAATGATTCCTGATTAGAGAATCATTGATTTATTGTAATGTTTGGATCACATAGAGAAAGAAATATTGTAAGAGATGTGTATTTTAAAGATAACGTATTTGAATTTGGAAAACAAAGTAGAAAATAACAAAACTTTCCTTAAGTTGACAAATTTCTGTTACTCAAATCTGTTTTTCTCAGGGCACACTATACACAATTTAATTTTATCCATATAGGACAATGTTTCTCTCTAAAAAATGTCATGGGTAAGTTAGTAATAATTAACAGCAATAGACAAAACTGTTACAGAATACACTGTTGCACTCTCTCTGATGATCTAGAGATTTTCTGAGCTCAGAATCATGTATGCATATATGATTTGTCAACTGGGATTATGGATAACTAATTGTGATCATGAAAGAGCCAATGACACTTCTTTCAAATTTAGATGTGCGAGATCCTCAATCTGGCCAAATACTAATTTGGACAACTAGCTTCCACTTGCCTAAATAATTAATGCAGCTTCAATTGCCTACTGCATTTTCCTCCATTGCACTTCTTAGACTTTTGTTTCATACTTCTGTGTGCTGGTAAACTACTGGCAAGCTCTGCAGCATCACGGGGATGGGAGAGAAACAAGATATTGAAAATACTGCTTCCAAAGTGATTCAACTTGTAACAACTCTCCTGGATTTACCCTAACTGCCAAGCCCTTCAGCATGTATATGAAGCTACTCAAAAAGACCGTTTCAGAACCAAGGACAGCTCATTGATGATACACAGTTAGATGTTTCTAGCTCTACAGCCCCCTATAATTTCATTTTCTGCCCCACGGAAATGTTTGTAGATATGGCAGACGGATGTGCTGCAGATAACAAAATTCAGGGGGTCAGTGATGGGGTCTCAGTGAGGGCAGTTTTAGCTAGATCCTATTTCATCTTCAGTGCCACTTACGTATCCATGCAAAGTGCAGTTTTGGGCACCCAGTTGGATTTCAGATTCTACATCCACCCAATGGCTTTTATGCACCCTGCATTTAATATCAGAGGAAAAGGATAAAGGGTGGTAGGACAGTTTCTGCCCTACTGGAGTTTGAGATAGAAGACAGTGCCCCTTCCTTCCACCGCAGACAGTCCCTTTAGCTATCTTGCCTCCAAGTCGCCCAACCTGTCATCTTGTCTTGGGTGACTAGTGGTCTAGTTCCTTGAGGAAGGCTGGAGAGCCTGCTGGGGAATGCCTTAGCCCAGGGGTATAGGGGCAACCTACAGCATGTGTGCCACAAGTGGCGTGGGCAGCCTGTGTGTGAGAGACACATGGCAGATCAGTGTGGGGAGAGGGAGTAGAAACAGAGCAGCAGATCAAGCAGGGGAAAGGAGATCAGAGTGGCACTTAGGGAGGACATGGGGATCATGCACTTAGGGGGCTCTTGTGGCATGCCTGCCAAAAAGGTAGGCCCCCACTGTCTTATACCATGGTCTGGTAGTTACAGCACTTTTCTGGGAAGTAAGAGGTGCAGGTTCCCTCTAGGTTCTGGGTCTCCCATTTCCTAAGTGTCCTAAGCACTAGCATAGTAAGAGAAAAGGTAGGAAGGCCTTCTTCATCCTCTTCTGAGTACATTTAGGAAATCTACTGTCAGTTTAATTCAAGCCCATGCTATTTTCTAAATATGGTAGAAAAGATGCCCCCTTCCCATTTATTCAGAGTGCACCATTATCTACCATGTTATAATTTTGTAGCAGAAATACAGTATTTTGCACAGGTTCAGAATCTCTAGCCAAATTATGCTACAGCATTCTGGAGAGACTTG